TTAACATGGAATTTATTTTTTAATCTTTCGAATATGATGTAGCATTTCAGCAAAGTTTCCATTCTTTTTTTGACGTTCATTAGTTGTCAAGTCAACAAAAAGCAAAATGATCACACCATAATAATGATGTATAAATATTTGAAGAAACAACCGGAACACACTGATAAAAATCACCTATTGCCACTATACCAATGTTACCGAAAATCTCTGTATAAGAATGAATATCCATGATTTTATTGAGGCGTGTGTATATTGCATCTCAAAGACTTTCTTGAATTAGTGACAGTTCATCAATAAACAATAGTTTAAGAGATCCTGATTTGTAGTGATATGTACTTAGCCTTTACAAGACATTTATCATAAAAACGACTCAGCTGCGTATTCAAACCAAACAAGTTACACATTGCTACTCCACCAACATAGACTGATACATCACCTGTGAGTGCTGTGATATAGTATGAATTTCATCAATATTTTCTTTCGGTTCTAAATGTTTTTTTTTTATAGAAAACAGTTTTGTCGCTTCATAATGTAAACATTTCAATAGATGACTTTTACTAATACCAAGTCTCCCGATGATAAATCGCCGAAGTGATATCTGATATAGAAATCATGCGATCGTTTTGTACATCATTCTCGAACACGATAAAATACTTTCTGTTGTTCCTCATTCATTAACTCTAACAATGATTTCATCTCATTTGATAAAAAAATATTTTCTCAAATTAATTAAATTTATATTAGCTTTTATTTTACAAATCAAGCCAAAGTCAATAATTTCTTCATTTTCTATTTCATCTTGTGTTATATGATTCTTCTCTTTGCTAGCCACTACTTCAGCACAATCATAATCTTTTTCTTTTATTAATAGATCAATCAAAATCAATTCCATTTCTTTATAAACATCAAAATGAGCTTTGTATTTTTTCGATTGTCACATACAATATGTTTCACTTGGCGTTTACATTTATGATAAAAAGCGTATATTATACCATGTTCATAAAACAATTGGTACGGCCTTTTAAATTCTTCTCAACTCCGAATTGGTAAATAAAGTAACAGGAAGTTTTCATAATAATTATCTGGATCCTTTTCATAATTAAAATGAGCATATCTTATGATAGCTTTTTTCGTGTCTTTTCTTAATTCCAAATGGTAGCACTTTGGCTCTTATTCAGTTGATTCTATTACAATTAACTCTTCCTCTTTTTCTTCTACTTGAATCTCAAAATTCTTCTTCTGAAACTCTTGTAAAATCTTACAATTTATCCTTGTTGTACCCACTCTTTCCTTGATTTCTAATCTATTAAATAAATTAGTGAATTCTCAATCACATTTCATTTTTATTTACTTTATCGTGTCGTTTCTCATCATTATCATTGTGGCATTTATCAATACTTGAACAGTCACGTCTTTCACTTACATTTCAATCAGTAAAATCAAGACATGACACCCCCTCTAATTCATCCCTCTCAAGGTTTTCTAGAGCTGCTCATCAGAAAAATTTGTCTTAGATTCAAAATTTTCAAATGATCCCTTCTTGGAGATACTGAGGTCGCAAAGGTCAACAATCGCCTTTTAATAGTCCTGTTTCCTCAGGCGCAATATAATCCACAGAGTTGAAATAATTTTTACATACACTAGGCATTTTTTTGGATTGTATACTTATTTCGATTTCCTTTTATCTCCTTTCATTCGAATAAAAAAAGACCAAAATTTGGAGACTACTCGCAAATCATATGTTTTTGTGCTGGAGCTATTGTTGTCAAATTTACCGAAAAATCACCAGAGCAATATTTTTCAAACTAAAAAGCATAGGCATTCTGAACAGTGTCTAGTACCTACAAATAAATGTCTCAGTTCAGTTAAACATAGTCTGCCAGAGAAATGGAAGCAATTATGTACTTTTACTTTTTAAGAAACAATTATGAGAAAATAGGAAAACAAAATTTGCCGTATGTATTAGGACTATTTTGGAACTATATCGATGGAAAACTAACCGTATTCAATGGTTTTAGGGGTCCATGATTAATGCGCCAAGTATCTTTGAAAGGATAGATAACAGAGACGTGCACAGGACAAGACGGTCCTGCTGTCCTGTCCTGCCGCCCACCAGGACCGAGGTAGCCAGCAGGACAGGTGAGGACAGGACAAAAAATCTTGTCCTGTGCACGTCTCTGGTTAGCATACGACCTGTCGTCTTGCACTGTGATGTTTTTTGACGTCTACCACGTAGAATCCTCAATTTCTGTTAAACTTAAATTGTGATAATTTTTGTATGCTATACAGTTGAATTCACTAAATTTTGCAAATCCGTCGTGTTGAGCTAGTTTATTTCATAATGCACTCAGTCCAGCCGATTTATTTAATGGTTTTGGATAGAGCATAGCCTAGTAGTCTTAGAGATAATATAGATATACGTATTTCAATATCTCTGAATTTTTTGACAAATATTAGCTAGGTTGAGGATTTTTTTAATTATCCAGTTGATGTAATTAATTATTGTAATGTAGATTCTTCTACTCTATTGATATCTTACTATAATCTTGGACGAGCTGTGTTCTGATCATTTGTTGTTGCCTTGATTTCATCTGTTTGTGTTTCCATACTTTCATAATGAACTTCTATAGATTCGGCCATTCTAGAATTTATTCAGTAAATTGTCATTAGAAAAAAGATCGCAATTTACTCTTATCTGATGAAACAAATTAAAACAACACTCGTCTTGGACAATCGTATATTTTTTAATTAAATTTTTGTCTTTGTTTTTTATTCTATCCTTAAAAGAACAACATCGATCAAAACCAACGACTCTGACTAGATTAACTTCATCGTAAATTAAGCACAGAATAAAATAGCCAATATGATTAAGTTTTGAAATAGCTGTATTTTAATTTTAAAAAAGGCAAGGTTACTTAGAAAGACACTGCCTGTTTTATCAATAGCAATAGAAATATTATTATTTTATTTTAAGGTTATGTGAAAAATGGAAAATTCCTTGTCCAAAAATGACATTGCACAAAGGACAATTGAAGAAATTTTATTTTAATAATTAACTAGGCTTTTAATAGAATTAATTTTTACACAATGAACAACTTTATTGGGTCTCAAACATTCGTTCTTTTATTGATTTAAAATAATCTATCATCAACGTAAGATGAAATATGTAAACTCAAGTTTGGGCAAAAGTTGAACTGAAAGATAAATTACGAAGAATGATTTATTACTGAATCGGATTTTATTCTTCTATAATGATAAATTCCCCTAGACGCATATACATTGTTTTCCTTGAAAAAAGTTCTTTTTTTTTACTAAGATATTTCTTTAGCATATCGCATTTATCTTATTAGGTCTTTGCACTATTTTCTTTCAATAGTTTCTTCCATTCTTTTTTTGTTTTGAGAGAATTAAGAAAAAAAAATGAATATGATAAAAGATTTTGATAAAAATATTTGAAAAGGTTAGAAAGACTTGCCTCACGATCAATGAAAAGAAATTTTTCAGTTCAACAAATAGTTGTTTCGACAATGGATCAAAGTAAAAAGAACGTAGCTATATTGTATGTGATAATTTTCTTTTCGTTCAGTCTTTGTACATGGATATCGACAATGCTGCTTCTTTCTATCTTTCTTTCGCTCTTTGTCATTCTTGGTGCATATACAACCTTTGTTGATTCAATTAATGTTGCATCACTAATTGAACAAAATCTATTTCAAAAATATTTAGATACTTGAAGAAAATTTCGAAACTTTAATAATGCGTCAGATGTGCGATAGTTGAGGCAGTCTAAGTATATATTTGATGTCACCGATATATTTTTCGTGATGTTCTACAAAACTATTGTATGAGATGACAGAGCATGAGCAGCATAATTAGTGTTTTCAAAGTTAAAACTCGATCTAAAAATCATAATTAATATGAGACAGACTGTAACCCTCTTTGAATTTAAGTTAAATTCAAGAAATTAACTACACAAGTGTTTTCAATAATAAATCTGTAAATGAAACCAAGTGTAAACTGGCGCTCTTGATTATTTACTACTAATGCATAGTAGAGCAGACAACAGCAACGAGAATGGGGAACACCGATCATTCAATGTTCTTGGCAAATCATTTCAAGTGTGTGATTGTTTCTCGTTTCATCTTTCTGACGATTGTTTTTCTTGAAAAAGATTCGTATCAATGATCTTGCTCGATATCCAAATTCTCTTTTAGCAGATAATATTCGTCTTCAAGAATATTGGCGACCCAGTCTACATGCTTATTTTTTCTCTCGTGATGTACACATATTTGAACGTATTATTTTACCATTCTACACAAAATTTCAGTCATGGGAAAGAATAAAACGTCCATCGATGATTTTACTATCCGAAAAAAGTTTTCAAAATGAATTGGCTTTTTATAACCTTCTAGAATATTATCAAGTATTGTTTTTATAAAGAAAACAACGTAAAAATACGCATGCATTCTCTTATTGTAGATAGATGATATTTTAAATAATATATTTGAACATTGCACACAATCTTCTTTGATTATCTTTCTTTTTTCTCGTTTATTGATCCAAAAATGTCTTTGTCAATGTATAGTCGATTGTATATCATGTGTTTCTTGCGCTATGGGCATTTGTGAATTAATGTTATGGCGGTGTCGTGAGCGTTTCATAAGTCTACTTGTTGTAGATATTTTTATTAGCGTAATTCTACTATGGACCTTGTTCTATGAACAATATTCTGATAAAATATTATTAAAAATCCAATTTGATATGCACAGTAAACATAACAAAGAATTAAGTTCAATCCGAGCAAATATATCATTCAACAAACAACATGTCATAATGGCTTCATGTCAAAGTTTTAGTTTTTTTATGCAAATTACTTTTATTTCTCTATCTTTTATCATCAGTTTACTGTCGTATAAACATACAGGTAAAGGCAACTTATAAGTAGCGTTGAATCACAGAACAATTCTCATGTACTTCTTGTAGGCACATGGTACTTCATTATGGCACTTGCTTTTCGTCATTTACTTCTTATACGTTTATGCTTAAGAGATATGTATCACTTGATTGATCTTCTTTGTTATAGTGGTCGTTCGTCATTTCGTGTTTTCTCTCATTTTCTTCTGTTCTTAGCTACTGTAATATTCATGTGTATTTGGATAGGTATTATACTCTATGTAACCGATGCAAGTGCCATGACAAATTATTCAATTGATCATCGTACATCTCTAGCTCCATCACGTTATATATATTTCGTTTATCATATATTATTAAATGTTGGATATGGTGATACAGTAGAACAATCAATTTTGTCTTTTATTATGATCATTATTATGACACTTGTTGCATGTCCACTGTTGATTATTATCTATCAAAATTTAATACAAGAATTGAATATTGTTAAAACAAAGATGAGTCATGTTGAAACATTTCATCGTACATCGTTCATCAATCGTTTAAGAACAAAAATAAATAGTTATCATAAATCGATTGTAAATTAGAAAAGAAACATGATTAAAATTCAACAACAATAGCTAATTATAAATATAGGCTGAATATTATCACTAGCTATCTAAAAATATCTTATCTGCCATTTTGTAGAATGTTTCAAATGAATTCAATTCATACTTGCTCATGGTATAGTTAAAGCAAAAATAATTTAGAATAATTAATATTTAGTAATTATTTCATGTGCCAACAGGTTAAATAGCATAGCCATCTGATACTTGCTGTCGTCATGTTATTATGAAGAAAACTATTGCAGAAACGTTTTTCATAGTATTGCTCATACCCGTTTGCGCATAAGAATTCAAATTTTCCAAAAAAAAAAAGGAAAAATTCACTTAAAGATGCCAATTATCATTGTTAACATGAGATTTCAATCTTAAATAGAGCTTCCTATCGACTCGCTAAAAGCGAGTAGAAACTACTGTTTCAAAAAAGATCATTGATTATTACTTGCACGCACATTGACAATTATTTTAGAAATGCACAAAATCTCAAGTACTCGGCAATCTAGATAAAAAAAACCAACACCGAATTGTAATTTCAACTTGAAGTAAGAAAATTGAAGCATTTATGTACAGATTTTGAAGCTTTTCTAGCAACATACTATCAAATCTTTTAATGACACCGTTTTGAAAAATGTTTAATCAATTACCGACGTGTACATAATTTTATTTTCAACGATACTCTTATCCATAGTGAATATATTTTTTACGCACGTACCAAAACGTAGCGCTTGATAAGTAAATTAAGAAAAAGAAAAATAGCTGTGACATACAATTTTTCGTCGAAGTTTATACATATGCGCCACTAAAAATATCTCAAGCATATTCTCATAATGGTATCACCATTTGGATTTTTGCTTTCTGGTGCATCCTTTTTGTTTTCTAAAAGTTATTGGTTCATGAAACCTTTTAAAAATACTACAAAGAATCACAAAGATACGCAAGCATGCTATCGGATCGATTTTAGAAATAGAATTTGATTACTTTCGAAAAAACCAATCGATAATAATTTGCCTTTCCTCTGTTTCTGCTGTGCCTTCATCATTGACTTCAATGCTATCTATGAAATAATTGGTTTTATTATTGGAATCAAAATTTAATATTACAATTTCAAGAATATAAATAATAGCTTTAGATAAAACTCAAATGCATTTCATTTGGATATACTTTGATGTCCAACTTCCATTTTGCACGATTTTTGAAAAAGCACAGAAAAGAAAAGACAAGAAAATTTGTAAATGAATAACTATTAGCGATAATAAAAGAGACCAATGACGTATGTAAAACAATACTCATCGTTTGTCTACAACTTCACGTTTAAGTTTAGCAATCATTGCTCTTCGTTTGTTTAATTCGTCGTCGGGTATTTGTGTTGATTCTTGTGTCGACTTATTTTCATTTGTTGGTATATTCGTTGTGGCCATAGCTTTGCGTGCCACGTGCGCAGCTGACTGAGGTCGAGCATTAGGTGTTTGTTGTTCTAAATCTCGTGCACGCTCGACACGTTGTTTATTTACAATTAATTCACGTTGTTGTTGAAGAAAATTTTGACGCGATTTTATGGCAGCAGTTGCTTCATCATTTGTGGATGATGTTGTACGAACAGTCAATTCGCGTAATTTTTCACGAAGTACTTCTTCAGAAACAGCACCAATGGTTTGTGGTGTAGATGTTTTTTTTGATGGATCATTTTCTTTTGAATCGTCATTGTCATCTTTCTATTAGTAGACAAACGAATATTAAAAAGAAGGAAAATTTAATTGAAAATATTAGAGAATCTAACTTTTCGATTTGTGCTTTGAAGATCCCTATGCCATTTGGAATCGAGTTCTGGACCACTTTTACCTCGCAGATCAGGTAAACGATATTCTTCCTTGGATACTTTTTTTGGTTGACTTGGTTCTTTTTTCTGTTGTGGTGGCAGTGATAATGATGATTGTTTTGGTTTTACAACGACAACAACATCACCATCGTCGTCGTCATCATCGTCGTTGTTGTTGTTGTTGTTGTCGTCACCATCACTATCATTGTGCTGATGTTTATCTTGTCTTGAGGGTAATTCTCGTTTTTGGATTGATTCTGGTGGTATATTAATTGATCCATGTCTTGATGATGACGATGTAGCTTGTAATAAAAGTGACAGAACAAGATCATCTCCAGTATCACTTTGCTTTAATAAACCCCATTGTAATTGTAAAGTAACAAGTGCTTGTAATTGAAGAATCAAATTTTTTCTTCTCATCATTTCTTGAAACAATGAAAAATCTCTTGCAGCATAAAGTTGCTCAAATGGCTCATCAATTATAACAGATTCATCACTATTTGTTGGCAATTGGCAAACTTGTTTTAATTCGTTTTGATCTAAATCAAGATCTTTACCAAGACTTTCGATCAATGAATCAACAAGGCGTTGATATTTTAGATGAATACTAGTTTGTTCTTCTACATATGAAGATGGTGTTGTATCATCGTCTTCTGTAGTATCATCATCATCATAATCAAAACTAGCACAATTTGCTTCTATAAATGTATTAATGGGAGCTCCCCAAATTGGAGAATGAATAAAATCTCCAACAGTTTCAGCAATCCAACTATCATTGTTCGAAGCCATTTAGTATAGATAAATGTTGGAAATTTTCTTTTTTTTCGTCTAGTTTACTAGATGATTCTGTACCGTCGCATTTGTCTCTCATCGGACATGTAAACGTGATAGCAACAACCTCTATTATCAACTATAACAAACAATGAAATTAAAATTTCAATGAATATTCTTAAAAGAATAGAATTTCTGAGAAAAACAAAATTTGACATATACTTTTAAAGAGATTTCATTCGAGATAAGAAGTTTATAGTGTGACACGTGTATGATGACGACCTCTATAGAAATCTAGATGTTCGATATTTGGGTTTAAAATTCTACTTCTTCATTTTTCTTTCTTTGAAAAATATTTGAGAAAAAGAGAATGTTCTCACAATCATGCTATCGATTAATACAAAACAATATCTACTGAAGTCCAATTAGCACGAGAACCTGAATTTCGTTGTATTTCAAGATTCACTATATATGAAATAGAGATTTTTGTATTATACCGATATAGATTGGTTTCATAAAAATCTTCTCAACAATAGTAAGCTTTGTTTTTTAAAATGACTATAACTTTGTTTCAATACTAAAGTTGTATGTAATGTCTCTGCCATGTTCTTAATTTTAGATCAAGAATCCCTTTCACGATTTTATACTTAGTGTTCATTGACACAATGTTGCCGAAAATTCGCCGAGTTTCATCGATTTTATACAATAATATTAATGAAAATAATGATGGTGATAATTCATATACACAAAATAATAAATTGCTACAATCAATTGAATGTCTAAGTAATAAAAGTACTGATAGTGCAGAAGATGAAAACAATAGTAAGCATAACGTCGTAGTTTTGTAGTAATAAATATTTGTTTATATAGTTTATATTGAAACATTATTGTATATCGTACATGTTGATGATATTGACTTACCAGCATCAATCACTGACGATGTAAGAGACGAAATGTACTATGGCAGCGATGAACAGCAATCAATTTCATTAAATAAAGTAATAAAACGTACAGCAAAACGTACGACAGCCAGCTTCAATGAACGTCATCAAACATCTAAAGCATCCATATATACACGACCTTCGTTTAGTTTTTCTAATCCATTACGACGTCTGAATAGTAAGAATGAGACACACTATTCTTTTTTTTCATATTTTCTTACGTTTTTTATATCCTTCAGGTTTACTCAAAGCAAAAGAAAATGCACCAATATCAAAATTAAACGGTATATATTGATTGAAATTCTCTTTTCTCTATAAGAAATATTTCTTTTCTAGATTCACCGTATAGATCATCAATGATAAAAAGAGCATCATCTTTTGTTGACCAATCTTGTTCAAAAAATCAAATAAACAATAATGAGAAGCACGAATACGTATTTCCTCAACCGCCACCATCATTTCTTTGTGATGATCCAGTAGCAAGTAGAGAACAACGACCTATGATTCGTGCTCATGGCCCCGGATTATCAGATGGCTTTGTTCATGATAATTGTTCGTATTGACATTATTCTATTAGACATTTAAAAAGCTATTTGAAAATTCTAGGTCATTTTGATTTGGATGCACCCAATGCCGAATTACAAAAACTTGTAATTGCTATTGATGGCCCATCAAAAGCTGATATTCAAATTGAAGTTATTAACATCGATGTGTATCGAGTATTTTATACATGTTTAATATCTGGTAGAAAAAAATCAATCAAAGAACTTTTCCTACCAGCAATCTAATTTCACATTTAGGTAACTATCATATATCGATAACATACGATGGTGAACAAGTCGATAGTTCACCATATCATCTACGTCTGTGTCATCAACCTTTACTAGAACAAGTCGTTCCACCTGCTCTTCTACCTCGCGTAGGCCCACCTCATGCTACTATTGAACCAATTGAATTTCATGTATGTTAATATTTTTTATTTTAATAGTTATTTTATAGGTTTGTTAATGTGAATCTTAGGTGAATACGTCATGTATAGTTACTGTTCGACCTGCTATACCATGTGCTATTTTTCAAGCTTATATTCAAGCACCACAAAAAAATATTAATCTACCAATTACGGTTCATAAATCAGCAAAAGCAGGTACACAAATAATATTGTGGAGAAACTAGATTTTGTATGACCAACATATTCAATAAAATTTAGTTAGTTTATAAAAAGAAAGCAACATTTATTATTTTTCCGCTAGATTTTTCGGTTCCCTTTTAATCAACAAACAAAAATGATTCTATTGAGTCATTTACGTCAACTACTGACTTATTGTTACCGATAATGAGTCGACATTAATCTTAATGATAGTTATATTTTGTTCAATCGATAAATCTCCCGCTTAGTTGAAATTATTTTTCGACAATAGCCGATAAAGATAAGAGTTATTTTTAATTACAATTTGTTTTCAATGTTTTTATCATTCAAATATTCGATAGAAATAAAGTTCTGTCTCTAACTAATAATTATTTTACCTCGGCTGTCCATTTTATTTATTTAATATCTTGAAAAGAAGTTTGTTTCTTTCACGAAAACTGAATCGTTACGGGCGATTCGTCACTGAGCTCAATTGTTCTTTTGCCCTACTGAACCTTCTATTACATAGTTTTCATCCGAGGATATAAAATGAACAAAATCAATGTAACATAATTTATAGATAGTTTTCCCGAAAGATAAATATGCTGCAATCATCTTTGCTATATGATAAAGAAATGATCGTTATGATCGTTGGTACACTTTGGCAAAAACTAGTATAGTATTTTCTCACTATCATAACACTTCTAATTTTTCAAACTACAAAATACAGATAATTTTATCAATGGTATTTTTAACACTATAAATATTATCTAATGCAAAACATTATAGAAAACTTATAATCAATTAGATGGTCTAAGAAATTATTTTAAATTTGATGAATGTCTACAAGAATGCAGTTTTTGGTGCTAAAAGGTTTTTAAAACTTATATTTGTATTTTATCGATAATTAAAAAGTAAAAAATCATGGTAAATGATTTTTTTCATGGCGACACATGACAATTAAAGATTCAAAAACAAAATAACACACTATCTTTTTGTGTTGAGTACAATGATCCATGTTATTCTAGATGTCATATACTTCGAGTAATCATTTAACAAAAGTCTTTTTTGTTAGATTTATACATGCATACTTTGTTTTAAATGATTGGTTTCATATTGATTTATCTATAGAATGTTATGAAATATATTTTGTGCCGAATACATGTGGAAACCATTGGCTTAATGTTAGTCTTGATCATGCGCCAATATATGATAATCCACATCGATTGATTGTACGACCATCTTCTTCTTCTACAAAATCAATAACTGTCAGTGGGCCAGGTTTATTTCACGCTTATACAGGTAATCACTGCTGCGATGGCCGAGTGGCTATGACATTGAACTAGAAATTCAGTGGAATCTTCCCACATATTCTATTATTCAAATGTTTCCTAGTCATCTTCATCGACTATTTTTCTCTTAATTTCAAATTGAGTTCATGAAATATATGAATAAATATACGGTTATAATCCTACTCGTAGCACTTGATTATTTCTCATTCTTTAGCTAAACAAAAAGAATGGAAAGAATAGATAGAACAGAAAATCTATGTACTTTACCTGTAGGTGAATCAAGTCAATTTTTCGTATCAAAATTACCAAATGATCGATCAACAGGGGTAGGAAGTTTTACTGTTGGTATCACCGGTCCATCAACTGTTTTTCTTGATGCAAATGAAACTGAGCATGGTTATGAAGTAACTGTCCTATTGTCTTCGTTTATTCATGAAGAAATCTTTTTTTCTCTTATTTTAGTTTCATTATAAACCAATGCGAACTGGTAAATATATTATCACAATAAAAAACGGTGAAAAACATATTCAAGGCAGTCCATTTATATGTCGTGTTTTTGGTTAGTTTATTCTTTCTAATGACAAAAAGTTCCTTATTTGAATTGTTAATATTTTTCAGATAAACTCAATGAAAATTGTACAGTTTCATCAAGAATGCGTGAAAAAGAAAATGATGTAGGGAGTGAGGCAACAACATGTACTACAACGCAAGCAACAACAAGTTGTAATTCCTTAATGCCTGTTCAGTCAATTTTAAATCCGATTCGTTCATCAACACGGTCACTAACTCATGTTGATCTTGATATTCTTCGTTCGTCAATGACTGGTGATGCATCACAAGTATGTGTTTTTGGAACAGGCCTCTATGAAACGAAACCACGAAGAAAAGCAACATTTCAAATTGATGCTACTCAAGCAGGTCTCAATTAAAAGAAAAGAATCCGATTTTATTTATTTGAATTTTCTATATTTATGATTAAGGTCCTGGATTACTTTTAGTTGGTCTTTATTCTTCGCTTGGATCATATGAACGTCTTGTTGTTAAACGTATAACGTCAGCGTCTTTTACTTACGTTTACAAAGTGTCTTATAGAGTTCGAATACGTGGTCAATATATGTTAGTTATTCTTTATGGATCAAATATGCAACATGTGCCGGGAAGTCCTTATCTTATTACCGTTGAATGAAAAAGAAAGAAGCCATTCAAATTTGTTTAATTATGTGATATATTCGATGATTTTGACATTAATGTTGTTCTATGTTCTTTTGTGTGGTTTGTGTGTGTGTGTGTGTGATTCTTTCTTTGATGAGAGTATGTTTTGTTCTTTATTCTTTTCGACTATTGTATTAGTAAATATATATATATATATATATATGTATATGAATGTGTGTAAATTGCAAGAAGAAAAGTTGTTGAAGAATAAATGAGAGAACCGAATGAAACGAAATAAATTTGCTGTGACAACAGACAAACAACCATGAACAGGAAAGAAAAAAAAAGAAAAAAATCTTTAAGTTACTTTTGTGAGCGGTAGTCAAGCTAAATTCTCACTATTGTCGTGGTAAGTTTTGAAACTTGAGTAGAAATAAATAACGAGAAATGCTTATGACTGTAAAAATAGTTATAGATTACACTTCATAATAATCCTTTTAAATAAATTCTTCTTCAACTTAACTCAATATTCTTATGTGGAGTTCAACTAGAATTTATTCTCTGTAAAAAAATAAGACTTCGTAGCGTTTCAAAATTTCTTTTCAATTGTAAAGAAAATATTTTCAATAATATTTATATTTAATTTAGAAAAAAGTCTTAAACGAACATGAACGACCAAATAATTCGCCAAACTCCATTACCCCCAACAAGAGCGATTGGCAATCATATATATACAAAATTACAAGTACATTATGGCGGTGATGTTCAAGATATTGTATTGAAAACGGAAAAAGAACCAAGCTGTATTGATCTTGGAAAAGCATTGGAAAGTACATTTCGTTTACCAATGGCTGATCAATTGATATATTACCGTGGTCAACGCCTTCATCATCATCAATCATCATCAGATGATCGTCCACTAGCAAGATACGGTATTTTTTCCGGAAATACAGTGACATTAGTGGGGCAAGGCGGTTTGCTCTAATCAAATAAATATTTATTTCATTTGTTTTCTATATTTGACAAAAAAAAGTTCTTTTTATTGTTTGTTTGTTTGTGAGTTTTTTTTGTGTGTGCGGAATGTATTTTTGAAGAATTAGAAGACAATAAAATAATAAAATAATAATTTCAAATATTCAAGTATGAAGTCGAGTCATTGATGAATGAACATTTGCTGATGAACGAACAGGATCTGTTGTCACTGTTTGAATTTTATCAATATTTAATAAATGAAGAATGGACGGATCAGATAAGGCTCCTGCAAATTTCAATATATATATATTAATTATGATATAAAAAAACAACGATTTACCATTAATAAATTCATCATATGATAATTTCCCATTACGATTAATATCATAGGTACTGAAAATCTAAAAGAAAAATTCATCAATTTTACTTTTTAATGATAAACTTTAGTTTCACTTTATTTGTTCTTTTCTCGGGTGTCGATTCATCTTCAGGTAATTGCATCACTGGACCGATCATTTTATAAATTGACTAGAAATTGCAAGAAAATTATTTTTACAAGTGATGCAACTTATATTTTTGTAAAAACTTACATCAACTATTATAAGCATTTCCTCTCTTGATATATATCCATCGCCATCCGTATCATAAAGATTAAATGTCCAAGCAAGTTTTTGTTTATCATCTCCTTTAGCTGTTATACTTAATCCAGAAAGAAAATCGCAAAATGATATTTTTTTATCACGATTAATATCAAAACATCTAAAAACATGTTCAGCAAACGTTGAAGAATCACCAGCAGGGAAAAATTGTGCATAAATGCTTTTAAATTCTTCAAGAGTTAATTGTCCAGTTGGACAATCTTTATGAAAACATTTAAACCATTCTTCTAAAACAAAATAATAATTTTGATTTTATTGTTAGATTTTATATTACGAATTTCTGCATCAGAAAATTTTGTCCATTGATGCAAGTAATCCCAGTCGGATGGTTGAAGTTTAGTTGCAGGCTTGTTTCCCATCAGTAAATTAAAACAGTATTAAATCCATTGAGAAAAAAAACGCATAAGCAAAGAAGGGTGTGAAGTCAGTTGCACAGGAAAATATGTCAACTATTGCGATGGCAGAGAAAATAAACCTTCAGGATTAATACCGAATAGGATGTACTGCACTCTGTTTTTCTTTTCTTATTGGCTATTTAAATTATCCATTAAATATTGTTGTTTATTTTCTTCTTCTTCTTCTTCTTGTATATATCTTTTCTTTTCTTTTATTTTTTGTTGTACATATTGAAGTTATCTGAAGAAGAAAAAGTTCTTTTCGTGTAAATAATGCCATCATCGTCCATGAGGAAAAAACCTTTGGGATCAACAATCACTAATAATAATTTATCACGTCCATCGTTAATTGATACGATGCTTTTAACCAGTACACCTCTTCGTCGTTCACCGGCAATACAATCGGCAATAGCATCAAATCGATCAGCAAATAATTTAGCTTTTCAACAAATTTTTAAAGAAAAAAATCAAACCTATGAAGATATGCAACTACTGAATTTAACAAAAAATATGAATAAAAAAGATAAACAAAATGATAAAAAATCGATATCAACAAATAAAAGTACTAAAAGTCGACCGAAGCATCGAAGAACCGTTTTGAATCAAGAAGATGATGATGATGAAACAGAAAATGATGAAGAGTTTAAAAAAACAAATAAATCAACTACAAACAAACGAAAAACAACAATTTCAAGACAAGAACAATCAGAAGAACCGATTTCGAAAAAACTTCGACGAACTACTGCTCTAAATAATAAAAAAGCTACAAAAACAACTATTGGTAAAATTAATTTCGTGGTTTTATTTTGAATTCATCGTTCAATTTTATATAAGGTAAATCTTCTGCTGGAAGTTCCGATGGCTGTACGACTGCTGATGAGGAAAATGAAGAAACACGTCTTATTGAACAATCAAAATTATATATTGAAGGACCAGGTAGAAGAATATTTATTTATTATTTTTTTTTTTGAATTTTTATATTTTCAGGAATTCGACAAAATTATAAAAAACTCAATGAACACAATAGAAAAATTGGTGAAAAAATTCAAAGTCTTCGTTCGTATCAACAAGTACTACCGTCATTGCCATCACCAATTCTTACACGGCCAAACACTGAAAATGAAGATGTCTTCGCTGTACCAACTCAAACAAGTTCACGTACATACATTTTGTTTTTAACTACATAAAATTAAATCTATTCTTTTACATTCTTTTCTTTTATCTATTTGTAGCTGTTAAAATTAAAACAGCATCACGTATTACCTTTGCACTTCCTCCTCAAGCAACGTCACCTATTCCAGCAAATAACTTTGATTCTACTCATCCACCAAGTCCCCAAATGCCACCAACAACAACAGCTACATCAATTGATACACAAACAGATGATTTATTGTCTCATCCTATTCTTCATGAGAAACAGTGTCAAACACGACCAAATGAAGTCAGAAATCAATCAGTACAAACAGAATCGATGAATAACGAATCTGTTTCGATCGGTATTCAATACCATTCTGATCTGATGTCTCAACAACATGTTGTGTGCCGAGATTTAACAGCATGCACTTGTGTAGAACAATTAGTTAAAACGCGTCAATTTATTGTTGATACAACTACTAAACTTCAATTATCAAATGTTAGTTGCACTGATGGCATTTCGAAAGAATTTTTTTTTTAATTTTTATTCATTGAATAGAGTAATCGGTCAACAAAAGTATCAAAATATACAATGACCATTGAAGAATCATCACCAGCTACTATGGTTCTTGCCAAATCTAGTTTGAAAACAGAGCAACAGGTAAACTAGATGATGTTTTCGTAGAAGTAGATTTTATAGAATAGAAAATATCAACATCAAGACAATAAATTTCCTGTGAAATAAACAGTGTTTTCTAATTTTTATCTGTGTATATATTAAAAATGTTGTGTCTGTTACTAATAGATAAATCTTAAAGTTTTTCATTAATTACAATAGTACGATATGAAAAGTAAGATCAATCATTTTAAAGATTTATTATGAAACAATTATTGACTAACTAAAAAATTAGAAGAAAACATGACAAGAAAACTAGACCAATGTTAAACGTATATATATATATATATAATATTTTTTTAATCCGCCAGACATTTCAGAGAAAAGAAAATTTAAGAGAAGTTTCTAGCTGTTTGTATGCAAAAATATTAAGAATAAAATAATTGTGAAGTTAACTAAAGAGACTTTGTTTCTATTCATAAACAAACATTTCTATTATAAAATACATTTTTTATTATTTTTTAAATGTCAAATATGTATTTTTAATTTGTGTATATTTATATATAGATGATTTTTGAACAATTCGTTTCTCAATTTAATATTCGCCATTCAAATACAGTTGACGAAACAACAACTCATTTAATAACTGACTCCTTAGACGAGAACACTCCACTTGTTTGTCCATTAACATTAAAAGTAATTCAAGCAACTGCTCGTCACTTACCAATAATTAGTATTCAATGGCTCGTTGCATCAATCACACATCAAATAATAGTTCCATCGCAAATTTATGAAATATTTCTAGGCGATCCAACATATGGTTATCATGGTGGCTTTCTTCGTTCACGTATTCCACGTTCACAGGGCCTCTTTCAGGGCATTGCATTCCGTTTAGAATGCCCAGAACAGCACGGTTGTCAAGCGATTTTAGCTGATAATCGTGCACTTCGTGAACTTATTTATCTTTGTAGTGGAACAATTGTTGATGATTCAAATCAAAATCAATCATCAACAATTATTGTGTTGTGCAATGAAATAAAGCGAAAAGATCATCTACATACAGCTTATGTTAAACCTGAATGGTTACTCGCTTCTATAGCTCAATACAATCTTCAGTCATTTCAACAATTTTCCGTCGATTTTACACCCTAATCAGTGATTTTCTTTTTTTTTTACATATGTATAATTCATGTGCGCATAAGTCAGATTAACGAGATAAAAAAATACTTCTTCTTTCTTTTTTTCTTATAAAAACTTTTATTTATACTTTTTGAAAAAAAACAACTCCATAGGCGATCAATATTGATCTATAATTATAATTAGATATTCTTTCAGATGAAATCCGGAATCGTAAAACCAATAAAAAAAGATAAAAAAAAGAGCAAAAAGTAAGTTATAAAAATTTTATGAAAAATTTCAAAAATTTCCTGTATAATTTTTAGACCAAAAGAAAATGGAATATCGGCATCAGCTCAACATAAAAAGGATTTAGCTGATTTAGCAACGGTTGATCCAGAATTTTATAAGTTTTTAAAAAAAGAAGATGCAAGTTTACTTCATTTTAATGCTGATGAAGATGATGAATCGATTCCGGATGATGATCCCGAACAACAATTTCATCAACTACCTGAACAATTGGCTGAAATTGAACCTATGTCTGAAGATGTATTTGATTCGAATTGTCTTTTTCATAAAAACAAATATGAATAAAATTTATTTTCAGGAAGATGAAAATGGTGAACCATTAAGTAAAGAAGAACAACAACAAGTTACAACTGAAACAATTGATAAATGGTCTAATCAACTTCAAGTAAAGTATTTTCATCAAATTCTTCTATTATTCGTTGATTATAAAATTTAGAAAAGTCAACCAACACTCATCACTATTCGACAAGTTATAAGAGCTTTTGGTTTCGCTGTACAATCAGCTTATGGTGGTACTGATGTATCAGCTGATGAAAGCCAGAAGAAAAAGAAAAAGAAACAAATAACAAGTGGTGCAATCGATGATCCAGAGTGTATGTTTTATCATAAATTATAAATTATAAATTTCAGAAACTGTTTCCTTTTAGCATTTAATGCAATTGTTCGCGTTTGCTTGAAACAATTATTACCGGCTATTTATCGATTTCTTCGAATAAAAATTGTTGCAAAAACTAAATTAAAACCAGAAACAAGTTCTAATTGGAAATATATTGAAAATATTCTCAAGAAATATTTGCTACATTTTACAAGAGTTTGTTTATTGTTGAAATAGTTTTATTTTATATTATCTTTCATACATATTTAGCTTATATCGATGATTAATGTTCCAAGTACATTAAATATTCTTCTTCGACATGTTCGTTCTCTAATTCCATTTGTTATTGTTTCATCAAATACACGGCAAGCGCTTGTTAAAGTAATTGCAACAAAATAGAAAAAAAATCTTTCATTTGTTTTCAAATGTTTTTGTGTTCAAATTAGGAATTAATTCATATTTGGTCAACAGCATCAGATGAACGTAGTCGGGTTATTGCATTTGTTTGTTTGTTTCATTTGATACGTGAACATCGAAAAGAAATGATTGGTGTTGTTTTGAGAGTAAATATTTTATTTCACAAGAATATCTGATTTTTATATTTTTTGTTTTCATAGAAAATGTATTTGGACTATTTGAAAAATTGCAAATTTACATCGCCAACAACACTTCCATTAATAAATTTTATGCAAAGATCTTTAGTTGAACTCTATTCACTTGATCCAACAATTACATATCAACATGGTTTTGTTTTTCTTCGGCAACTTGCTGTTTATTTACGTACAGCTATCCAAAATAAAAAACAGGTCTGTTGAAAGTTTCTTTTTGTTTTTCAAAGATTCAATTTCATAAGAAAATAATATGTATTTAGGAAAATATTCAAAGCGTTTATAGTTGGCAATTTGTCCATGCATTAAGTTTGTGGACAAATGTTATTGGTGTTTTATATAGTACTAAAGAAAAATTAATTCAACAACTCATACATCCACTGACAGAACTTATCATTGGTACAATTAGGTATAATTATTTTACTTGGAGTATTTTTTTTATTGAAATTCCATGCTTGCTGAATAGTTTTCTTGTTCGGATAATTATTAGTAGTTACAATTCGATATATTGGGATAATATCCTACAGTCAGTACTATGTAAAGAAGATATAGATCATAATATTTTACGATAGTTTGACTTATCAAATCTGCTTTTACTAAAATTCTCTTCGATTTCTTTGTTTAAATAATGTGTTAGATCTTTTTTTCGATGAAGTCCATTTAGTAACGGCATTTTTCTTCATTGGGTGGTCTATTGTATTTGGAAAAAGAATAAATTTATATATTTCTAATTCATCTGATAGTCAAAATGTAAATTTGAATGAAATACACTTTGAAGAAAATAAATCTGATCGACTCAAAATTGCTCCTTCGAATTGTTTAATTAAAAAACTATTTGTTTTCAATAGGTTAGTACCAACAACTCGTTATTATCCATTACGATTTCATTGTGTTCGTCTTTTGATTAAATTAACTGAATTAACATCTGTATTTGTACCTGTCTTACCATTTTTACTTGAAATGTTTGATATGACTGATTTCAACAAACGTCATAAGACAGCTACTCTTAAAGCTCAATATATTAATTTTGATACATCATTAAAATTAACAAAATTACAAATGGATGATCGAGCCTATAAGGTTTGATTTTTATTTTTCAATAATATTTCGCATATAAAATTCAAGATTAAATTTCATTTAGGATGGTTTAATGGATCAATTCTATGAACTTGTTATGCTTTATCTTGTTCATTATGCTCATCATGTTACTTTTCCTGAACTTGTTTATCCATTAATACTTAAATGTAAAAAATTTATCAAAGTTTGCAAAGTGCAGAATTTCGTCAAAGTTATTCGAGGTTTATTAGAAAAAGTACAAGAAAATATCAATTTAATTGAAGAACGACGACAAAAAGCAGGTTTAAATGTGAAAGACGTAAAACTAATGGTAGAAAAAGAGAACTTTCTTATTTTTCAATATTTGCCATTATTTGCTTTTCTATTCAAATGAATAGGATAATTGGCTTGAAAAAAGTCGTCAAGAATCAACGTCAAGTCCGCTTGTTGTTCACTTTCAACGATATAAATCATTGAGACAACGTGAAGTTTTAGAAGATATTGCGCAAAAAGAAAAGGTTAGTTGCTCGACGAAAACAAGCAATTTTGTTCTTAACATAAAAATTTCTTAAATAGATATCGACATTAGGTCGATCATCATTACCCGATTTAATTCGACCTGAACGACAAGTCGCTGGAAAACAAAATTTCAAATCAATGATAGAAAAAGAATTCAGTGATAACGATGAAGAAGAAGAAGAAGAACTTTTTCAAATAAAAGCGAAACGAAAACATGACGATATTGATGATGAACAAGAACAGCAAGAAGACGAAGATGATGCGGATGATGATGATGATATTGCTGCTACTGGTGATAATGTTGAAACCGATGAGGAAGAAGATTCATTGACAAGTCCACCAGTCAAAAAGTAAGCAAAATATTTGCGGAAATAAATTTGTTAAAAATACTAATTTTGATTAATATTCTAGACGCCAAATAAAAATGAGTAACGGTGGTTCATCAAATTCGACTAAAAATGAATTTCTTTCTATTGTTAAAAAGAAATTTGATTGTCAAAAAGATCGTGTTAAAACAATGTCTGTTGATGATTTCTAATAGAAATAAAATAACATACAATCAGAGATAATACTCTGAATGTTAACTTTTGTTGTTAACTTGTTTCAGATATATATATATATATTTTTTTTTTGACATGGTCGAAGATATGAAAGAAGATAAGAAGAGTGAGTCAAAAACTCCTCTTCTATCTGCTAATCTTTCTTATCCAACTCGCCCATATGTTGCTCAAATGCCTGCATTAATGCGTCTAATTGGTCATTATACAGATGCTGGTCGCCCAATGCCGAATCCCGGTTCATCTGATGCAGAAATAGCGGTTCGTAATCAACAAGACGATGAGCAAGAACAACGACTTGTTCACAATACAGATGTCCAACCTATAGAACATATCAATCCGTTTGTTCGTTGGCATCGACGTTGGTACCATAGTAAAGTTGTTGATCCATCACCAACCGTTGGTGTTTTTTATTCACCATTTAATATGGCTCTTGAACCTTGGGCTATGGGCTTAGGTGATATGGGATGTGGAAAAGTATTCAAACAATATCGAATGTGTACACATATGGTATGTTAGAGTATTTATTGTAAAAATCATTTTTATGTTAACATTAAAGAAAATATCTTTAATTTAGATGCCAAGTACTCATCGATATCTATGTCAAGATGAAAAGGAGGATGTCAAAGAATGCATACTTTCACAAAAACGAGTAATAATAGCATGATTCGATTAATGAATTTTTTATCAAATTTTTGTTTTTTCTCTCTTCTTCTTATTCTAGATCCTTCGCCATCAATATATGTATCAGCATCGGTAAATATATAAATCCTTCATAGTTATTGAGTATTATTTAAAATAATTTCATTTTATAGCGTCAAGAAAAATCTACCATTTCCCGAAGATCCATTGATCGATGGATATAATTGGCCTTCATTCAAATATTTGAATTGAAAAATTAATCTTTCATAGCATCCACTTTCATCAATTGTCCTCAGTGTATATCTAGTTTCTTTTCTTTCTTTCTTTTAACAAATAAACTAAAGAGACCCCCTTGGTTTTGGATAGGTATTTATTTGATGAATGATATGATTTGACTTAGATAGAATAAATTGGTCTTTTCATAATAATAAACATCAATTTAAATACAGTTTTATTCAAGAAATTTTTCGATTTGCATCTTCATCTTCTCGTAATTCAACAGAACAGAAATTTCGGAAATAAAAAATGGAACCTAAAAATAATGAATAAATCCTCGTATTTTATTGGCATATATTGAATAGAATGATAATGGTTAAAGAATGAAGTACTTTTGCTCTCTATTTTTAGTAAGATTCTAGAAGACTTTTATTGAAGCCGTTCTATTGTACAAATGATAGACGAAATTCTTGTTTAAAAGAATAGAAATCGATTCTTCAATTATCTCTAAATTAAAATGCTTGACAAGGTTGATTCTATTATTCAATACCAAGTTCTTCGTCGCAAAATTTTGAATTCACAGTTTCTTCTAATTGAAACAGTTTGATAGTATATCTGACACGGTGCAATATCACAAAAGCGGATTGATTAACTAGCTAAACATTTGTTATTTGTGAAGAAAATATAGTAAGCATTTGTTGAAACAAACTCTTCATTGAAAATCTATTAACATCAGAACAATATCGAAGATCATATTGCAAGAGAAAGTAAAACGATAATATTTTACAGATAGTTCCACAACGGATATCAATCGTAGTTTAATTGTCTGATAAAATTTGTTATCAAAATGGTGGGTTTCAGTAATAATGATAATCACAGCTCATTTGATTTACAGTATAATATAATAAAGTGTGTTCACACATAGATTCAGCCAAATACAAAAACTTTAATTAAATTTATTGTAGTGAAAATAGAGTAAAATTAGCAGGAAAAAATGATACGTATCACTTCCAATGTTTGTACTCAGTTTGGTTTGGTTTCTTCGTTTTACATAATAAAAGAAACAAATTCGTTTTAATTAAAAGACTACCAATTAATTATTTATTATCGAACAGAAGATTCTCTCGTATTTCTGTTAATCCATCAGAACATCACAAGGATTATCATGATTCGTCTTCAAGATTCAATAGCTTCGATGTCATATTATAAAAAATGAATTGTGGATTATTCATCAGTCAATTCTAAATTTTTATCTTTTGAAGGAATACGGATTGAAATTAGAATTGAATTAGAAATTTTTACGACTCATGATATAAGTAAAGAATTGAAAAGAAAACTCAAGAAAATCATCACATAAGAAATCGAGGACTATTCATCTTCATCAATACGCATCAAATTAATCGAAAGAAGAAAACAACTGGACGAAACAATACAACAAACGAAAATATCAAAGATGTTCCAAACATCTTTATGGATACTGGTCAGTTGTTAAATTGTTTCTCATTTGTCATAGAACAAAAGAAATGAACATCCATAAACAGAAACGTGTTGTCTTATTATTATTTTTGTTTGTGATAGTGATGAATCCAGAAAATTTAGAAAGAGAGTGCTTCTCAGCAATAAGAAGTGAAAGATACAATCGAAACACGGAGTTTCAGAGAGAAATCTAAAATTTAACATCAAATCAGTCGCACCATCTTCATCCGCTGTGAATACACTCCACTACGTTTTGGCTACCTTTTATTCATAATTATTTCTTGCAGATGCACTTATACATGTCTTATTTTTCAGTATACCATAACATATAATACGTTTGACTCACTGGTCAAAATGTTGAAATAAAATTATTTTTTCTAATGTGCACCGAATAGACAAGTGAAAACAAATATGAAATATTTATGTGTTGAATTGAATGACTTACTCGATGAAATTCTTCTAATTATTTTCAGAAAATTGAGCAATATTGAAGCTCTTTATTGTTTACAAAGTGTCTATGAACGACTGTATAGAATTATGCATGATGCAATATTGATAAGGCGTTTGAATTGTCTTCCATTGTCGCCCATTTTCATTAGTCAGTTTGCGTCAAAATTCATACTTGATCGATTTTGTTCACAAATTTGACCTGAAATTTTTATGAAAATCATATGGCTTGAACTTGAATCACCAACTACGAAATGTATTCTACGTGTTACCAATTATCCAGATTTATGTGGAGTCGGTCCATATAATATCGAAGAAGAGACAGCTATATATCTTTTTATTCGTAAGAAAGTCACAATAAAATTGTTTTAATTTTAAACAAATGAAAGATACATTAATATTGAAATGAATACGTTGATAAAATTTTTAATACAGTTGAATAGATCATTGAGACACTAAATAACTTTATTTTCAAATCCATATTTAACTATGGGGTTTTAAACGAAAATAGAAAATATTTTTGATGAGTAGAAAACAATGTTTAGAAAGATAATAATCATTAATTTTAATAAATTTTTTATGGGCTACATTTCAACGAGGTAATGTATGGGAACTAGAGAGATTATTTCTAAAGGTGAATACATGTATAGTTGATTACGATATTGTTTTTTTTTTATTGTCTTATAATCGTATCTATGTTAGTTAGATAAAAGTCTTTCATCTGGTATGTTTAAAAATCAAACTATGACACTGATTATTGAAATTGATCCAGATGAAAATGATCTATCAACAATCAAAAACATATGCAATAATATCTTTACTGTTTTTATTAATTTAATTCGTTTTAACATTTTATGATGCTTCATATAAAAATACTGTTCGATTATTATTATTCGATTTTCTATCTCCTAGTTTTTCTTCTTCATCTCTTTTAGTATTAAATATTAAGGTTCAATTTCTTTGTGTCTCTATATTCTCGATGATCGCTTCAATCAACTTCACACACTCAGTATTGATTTGGCTAACATTCATCGGCCAGAAAAAATTGAAAATTAAGTTAGTTTTACAAGAAAATAAGTTTCTTTATTTTTATTTTTTTCTCTAGGGAAAAATACCAAATCTAAAGTGTTTTTTTGTCTTATTTTTTGACTACATCGCATTATGATGAAGTAATTCTACCAATTCTTTATCGAATGTCAAATTTAGAAAAACTTGATTTGTATCTTACGGCCTTTGTTGATGAAATGTTTATTGATGAAAATCATTTTGCAGAAAAATATTCTTAATCATATGCCACTATTAAATCAATTTACATGTGATACTTGTTCGGTTATTTTCATTAAAGATGGAATGAATTTACCATTGAAGGAAGACATTCAACTCTTTTCAAGACACTAAAACCATATCTTGTGTTGATTATTTTCTCGAGCTAAAACAGAGTCAATGTCATGTTTAGTCATATTCATTTTTCATGCAATATTATGAAGATATAGCAAATCATTTTCCGGGTGGATTGTATCGATATGTTCGTGTTGAATCACTATATGATAAACAATCTGTTGAACATGAATTTTTTATTCGAATCTCTCAATCATTTCCATTTATGGAAAAATTATGTGCGACTGATTGTCATCCACAAAATAAAAAACAATCTTATAAATCAATGAATGATAATCATAGTTTATCAATTATTAAATATTTTTATCTTAGTCAACTTGATATTGAATGAGTTTATAATGATTGCATCGAAGAATTTTTATTTAATATCAAAACATATTTACAAAATAATATTCTACTTCATATTAATTATAAATCATTAAAAAGAATTACACATAACTTTACAAGAAATGATACGAGAATCAATTGTGTCCAAGTAAGTAAAATGCATTTCGGAAGAGTAAAGTATTCGGAATCTTTCAAAAATGATTTTCTTCTTGTAAACCTAGGCGAATTATCATACGGTGTTATTAGGAAAAAAAAGAGAAGAAATGTGTCTTGTGCATTTTGTATTGTTGTGAAGAAAAAAAGTTTAGCAAGGAATTAATATGATCATGCGTATGAAGAAGTTATCTGTGAAATAAACACATTTGTATAATACAAGATATTTAAGAGTTGATAAATAAATTTAGACTCTACACCAAGAAAAAATAAAATGATTTCTAATGCTAAAAATTACTTGTAATCATTGGAAGTCGAAAAATCAATTTGTTTCTCGTTGCTTTTCTATATATTTATATTTCAGTATAGAAACGCAGAAAATTGTTATCAAAAACATCAGTTCCAATGAGACAAATATTTCTAAACAAATGTTTACAAAAGAAAATTAATAGTATTTGGCTTTTAATCCATAAGAAGTATATCGTCGTATCTAAATCTCTTTTGAAAATGGCTAACAAAAAATGTATTTTGACACTGAGCACACGAACGTTTTTCAAGCTTTTTGATATAATAAGCATTTTCACTTTTTCGAAAACTCAAAATAAACAAATAATTATAAACCAATACAATTCCAGAACAGTCTCTGAGTATTCAAAAAATTAGAATTCATCATAAAAATAGATGAAGACGATGAACAGTAGTACTTCGAGTCACGCACATGGCTACACTTTCGAATCTTCTTTTTAAAATAAATTTAATGTGAAATAGCAAGCAAGTCAATAACCAAAAAAAAGGTATTGGAAAAAGCTTTTTTTTTCTTTAAAAACTCCACATGGCGGCAAAACGTGTATACAATGCGCGGTGTCACACATTTAAACAGATCGTACCATTTGATACATGATAGCCTAGTATGGTTAATGATACGTAAATTAAATTATCATTAGAGTCGATACTTTCTATCGAAATTTGTTCACGTGTGCTATTATACTAGCTTCTTGTTTTGCACTGCATACAGAATGTTAAACTAGATTGAAGGATGCTATTTTTAGCGAGAATCACGGACAAAATGCAGGTTTAAGCAGTTAAAAATAACGGATAACCATGTAATTATGATAAAACCATGTTCAAATCTTGGAAAATATGATTGAGAAAGTTAATTCGTGTAATCCTGAATAAGTTAAGCCTCCCTCCTCCCCTTCAAAATTGGAAATTTTCGTCAGAATGATGAAAACCAGATGAGTGCATTTTCGACTTCTTTGAGGTGGGTACGTTAAGGATCAATAGGAATTTCAGACTTTATATTTCTAAAAAGGTTAATTTTCGATAAAAAAAACTTTTACATCCACTACAAAGAAAATCAATTTCTTTTAATCGTTGTTTTTTGTGTGAAAAAACGACGATTAAAAAAGAAAAAGGTTTTACAGACAACAGAATGTAAATTAGTGTACAGTACGTGCTATCTAAATCAATTAATTATTATTAAGCTTTCTTGTGATGTTCGGCAACATCTATGATCCCACTTCCATAAGTATTTTGAAGCAAAATGAACATCATATTCGTGATCAGCGATGTCGATAACCTAAGAATCATCTAAGTTTGGACAGAAATTGAAAAAAAAACGTTTTTTCGTTACCCGGGAGTCTACGGCAAAAAATGTTTTCTTCGAAAAAGGTTTTTTGACCTGTGCGAAAAACGAACTAATCTGTTTTGGTCAGAATCAAATGCTGATTCTCATACATCATTGCATATTTTATTATCATTCAAAAAACAATTCCAGCAGATTGTTCTCAAGTTTTCTTAAAGTGTGGGTTTGACGAAGCATCTCCAAGACTTGTCTATTAAAACAAAGGATGAAGCTAAATGTTTTTTTGTTTGTTTGAAAGTTATCACTTAAAGCTAGTGACTCTCGTGGCCGTTTTTTTTTGAAAATCATTACCGATGAAGAAAAGCGTACTCTTCTTTTAATAGAACTCGGGTGTTTTTTGTATATTTGAAAATTTTTCAAATTCATGCAAGTCTCAAGAGAAAAGAAGGAAGAAATTACAAAAAAGTGCCACGAGAGTCACTAGCCCCAAGTGTCTTCTATACAATAGAAAAGAATGAATAAACTTTGTGCATTGTTTTGACAGAATTTCGTTGGAGATTCGAAAAGACCCAAAATTAGATATATGTGCATATTAAAATCATCATAACTACCCCAAACAAAGAGATAGAAGGCTGAATTGTTTTTGTGCACATCGCTGACTAGTAACTATCATGTGCAGAAAATTTCAACATCATAACATGTCGTATTGCCAAGTTCGAATTTTGAAGGGGGGGGGGGGGGGNCCCCCCCCCCCCCCCCCCCCCCCCCCCCCCCCCCCCCCCCCCCCCCCCCCCCCCCCCCCCCCCCCCCCCCCCCCCCCTTAATAAACAGAATATTCGTCAGTATGTTCAAACAATATTGCGATGCACTACAAATTAAGTACATGTACTATGGGTATTTCGTTTTTTTCTATTTGTAAAATTGTTATAAAAATGATTGTTTTAACAAACAATAGATTATTATCTATATTTTTTTATAATGTTCATCATTTACAAGTGATGATTGATAATAATAATTCGCAGTATTTAAAATTGTGCTTTCCGAGAAGAGTACCATGTTGAATTTATAAAATTATAAATACTTTTTTCTATTTCTACTTTCAGATATGACAGTGTCGTTCAGTTAAGTTTTTCTTTTTCTTTTTGAGTTGCTTTCGACATGGAAGCATCCTTGTTGCATTTATTTTCGAACTGTAAATAGTTCTTCAGGTTTTCATTTATATTCGAAGTCGAATTAGACATCGGATATGGTCTTGTACTGCTATTTCGAATTTTGAAAGAAGATTTGTTGTCGTCTGACCAAGCGAACTTTTTTCCTGTAGGTGTCATTAACAATGCATTTAAGGATCATTTTCGAGAGGTTTTTCTATGCATTTTCGATCGCATAACGATTGGATGATCGAATCGACTTATCGTGAATTATTTCAAAGATATATATATTTCTTCGTTTCATTTTCATTATGATGAAGTTTCGCTAGCAGTGTGTTCACTGAGTGTTTATAACTATGTGTTATTTACCATTTTTGTTCTAGATCAAGTGTCTAATTCACAATGGCAAGCACTAAAACAAAGAAAGGCGAAAGTGGTGGCAACAAAAAACAAATTACAAATGAGGTTGTTACTCGTGAATATACAGTTAATTTACATAAACGATTGCACGGCATGTAAGTTCAATTCAATCTTTCTATGAATGTTTACTGTTTGATTTGTATTTGAAATAGTGCTTTCAAGAAGCGAGCACCACGTGCGATTAAAGAACTAAAGAAATTCGCCGAAAAAATGATGAAAACACCAGATGTCCGTATTGACTCAAAATTAAACAAGGAAATTTGGTCTCAAGGAATCAAGTATATTTTTATTTTTATTTTTATTTTTATTTCAAATTATTTTATTTAGTCATGTTCCTTATCGTGTTCGAGTTCGATTAGCTCGACAACGCAACGAAGATGAAGATTCACTACACAAACTTTATACATTGGTTACATTTGTTCGAGTTCCTTCATTTAAAGGTTTGGTTTGAGTTTTTGCATCATACTTAAACTGATGTGTTTAATCATTGTTTTAGGATTACTTACAGCCAACGTGGACAACGAGTAAACAGCATATGCCGTGATATCATTGCCAAGTTTTACGTGCTTTCTTTCTTTCTCGTTGTTTTTGTTGCCAAATAAAATCGGCAAGAAGAAGAAATATGATTTAAATTTCATTATTATAAGCGAAGATTAACTGAATCTGTTTTGTTTATTCTAAAATATGTATGATGTACTTGTCATATACTACGATGAAAAAAAACGGAAGACTGAAAAGTATTCTGTAAAATACGTTATGACAATTTGGAGTTCGTCATCATTAAAATAAGTCAACACGGTTTTGGTGGAAAAGGCAGAAAGGGAAAACGTCGAAAATGAAAATGTCGAAAATTGAGTTTTTTGATAATTTTAAAGAAAAAGAAAATTTTATTTTCTAAATTGGCGTACACATGTACGTCGCATCTATGTTCAATACAAGCCCAATACTTTTTTGATGAGGACGTTTTATTGCATGTGAACATATATTGGTTAAACACTAGTAATGGTTTACCTTTATTAGCCGTTAAGAATGATATTTCACTGTCCAATGGACAGTGTGCATTGCCAACGATTGAAGAGAGAATTATTTGTTAGTTGTTTTCGCCAGACTGACTTATATATATATATGGTATACGCTAGCAATGAACAAGTGTAGACTATAGACGAGGAGAACAACGAATTTAACTTATCTCACTAAAAACCAATACCAACTCAAAAAGATATTTTGTTCTCTATAGACATCTTTTCCATTCGACGTTATCCTGTTGGACGTTTTCACCTTCCGCAATTACCGGTTTCGACATTTTCCTTTTCCGCCAGTTCGGCCGACGCCGTTGATTTTTCATCAATGGTTTTGGTCAATAAGTTAAAATATTAATATAAATCTTGGATATATAAAATAAACCTGTGTCAAAAGAAATTATTTTACTCATACAAATGAAAATGTTTAAAAGACTACTTTTTAATCATGATAGTATTACTTAAATTGAAAAGTAGTCGTTAAAGCCATCGACTTTCTACATTAGTTTCTAGAAAATGAAAAGAGAGAAATTACATATGCGAAAGGATAATAATTAAAATGTAATATTTCAAACGGTGCTGACTTTGAGTTTCACTGAACGTTGTTAATATGGTGTGTTTATCATTATACTGATTTATCAATTAGAATTCTATAGTTATACTCTTATATATTTCGTTTGTCACTCAGTTATTTTTGCTTTTGCATAATTAGTTATCTATAGCATTTTCAAAACTAAGCATTTGTGAGATCGAAAGATTTTAGTATTCATAGTTCTTTTTCTAGTGCCAGTCTTATTCCCGATCTAAATGATTTGACTTTGTTTAATCTTTGTTTCGATAGAGAGGAAATTTTTAAAACTGATACTTAATTAATGCAAAAAAAGCTTTCCATTAAGTATTTTTATTCAATCAATCGACTAGTGTCACTTGTTTTGATAGGTACATGGTGATTAGCTCCAAATAAGCGAACATTAGGCTGTACTCTTCAGTTTCAGTTTCGGTCTTCTCAATAGCGATTGAGATCAATACCGTTCCCAAACATGTTTAATTAGTAATTTCTCATTTTGGTTACGAATCCCATGTATTTTCTGTGTCCTTCACTCGAAAAATAATAACATGATTTCAAGTGTGATATTTCAACAAAGAAAAGATCATGCTACATGTTTTGGTCTCAATAATCACGCTGAAGGAATTGTCAAGGATGGAAATATATTGATTTTCAACATTGGTTGTTTTTGTATCTCCCTTCTCTTTGTATTCCACCACAATGATGAATACAATGATTCAGAAATACAATTCAATTTATATAAAAACTGCTAGGTATAATTTTCGTCTGCTTACTGAACATGTATGTAATTATGAAATGTATTTCGAGATGAATAAGGTACACATAAGGAGCGCATGGAAGGCCTTCTATTTTATTTTTATCTAATATTCTACATCCTGGAAACAAGTCATCTGATCGAGAAGAAAACATTTGATTTTCATCTGTTCAAGAAATAGTGGTCATACATGTTAGTTAAAGTATTAAGATTGACAACAGAAAAAATAAAGTTTGGAAGTGAAATAACTGTATAAAACTCTTGTTATTCAATACGACCAATGGTTGCAACACTGTTAGTGTTAGTCACATGCGGACTGCATATTAATAGTGCAAAAATATTTGAATGATATTCCATACGATAGAGACATGTCTTTTCTCTTTGAATGAGATATTTTGAACGAAAAGAAATTGATTTCAAGCAATATGTTAGGATGTCGAGTATTGTAATGAAACTAGTTTTTTACTCGTTTTTTCCCGTGAAAAATGAATTTTTAAAACGTTGTAAAAGTTTTATCTTCGCCTTTGAATGTACAGATTTTGAATGAGTATCAAAAACTTAGAATGCGGTTGTGTTTTCAATAATAGCTGGTAAGAATCAAACGTAAGCTAATTAAATGATGTTTTATTTCAATCAAAATATGATATAAAAAAAAACATTTTAATCTCAAACTTTACTACCATTAACAGTGACGTTGAATAATTCTTTCAGTAAAATTATCTAGAGGATTCTGTATTTGCTATGATGAATATTTATGAAACTATGTACACAAAAGTTGTTAGAATTTATTTTATTTCGACTTAAAAGTAATTCATTACATTTCATTCAATTATGGTAATCATATTAAAATAGTCTCCAGTAATTAGATCACTACCGATAGTAGTTACAATTCAAATTAAAAAATAATAATAGTTTTGATCCCGTTAAGTGAAATACCATATAATGCTTCGACATGACTTTTCTTTTGAGGGTACGCAATTTTTATTATATCTTTGAATAGCAATGAATACCAGAATGATGAAAACCAATACTAAAATAATAATTAGAGCAGGCACGCCATATCCAACAATGTATTCTTCAGAGAAATAATTTTTTCGTGGACGCCGTGTTTTCAAGTTTCTTTTAACCTTGTCAGAAGATGAGTTTTCGCTTTCATCCATCAATGATAAACTAACTTGCGGTTGTTCAGTGTTGCCGGACATATTACAATGATGTCAACCTCGAGATTCTGACAAGAAAACCTTTTATAGCAACTAGTCGATGCTTGTTTTTAAATAATAATACTATATACAGTATTCTGATGAATATTTTGTGTCGTAACGTCCAATTGAGGTGTTATTGTGTTCTGTTTTTCTAATCACGTCACTATGATTCTAACTATTTACTATGAAATTCGATAATCACATCGGCACTCATATATTATATCATTCATTTCTTTACTGTTTATAGGTTTATCTATTTTGTACTACCTAACGTATTGCCTCTTCGAAAACTCTATAAACCAGCTATTTTCTTTCTTCTACTGAACTTCAAAAATAATCTGCTTTTATTCTTATTATCACAAAAAAAGAGACAAGGTGTGTGTAAATTTTAAATCCTTGCTTTTAACTTTGACTTTATCGTTATGGTAAAAATAAAAAGTCTGAATTATCAATTCAACTAATCGAATTGCATGAAAAACTGTGTGTGCAAGTATTTTACGCATTCTTTTTATTCGTGTTCTTAGTATAATGAATAAGTTACTTTATATAATACATGGTATATCAAAACATAACGAAACTTCACTTGCTCTCTTCAATATACAAGATCATATACTTTATATTCTTCTCTTTGTACATTTAGTTTTATATTTCATTCAAACTGTAGAAAATAGAATACTGATCCCTCTATGTTCGTTCAGTCTATTGCATATATTCAGCTTATTATTTTCTATCGATTTCATAGAAGTTTTTCATAAACAATCTAATATTATTTAGCCTGCAATTATCAGACGTGGCTCGATGTTTAAAACGATACATATAAATTTCTGATACATATTGTCAATATTTAGTCTTTTGTTTTTAACGATAATATTATGCAAAACTGCTATAAAAATAGATTTTTTTTATTCAAAAGTTGAGCAATATAGGTATATCCTATTGAACAGTTTCAGTAGTGGTTATCACTAGATCTAAGAATAAAAAAGAACAATAGTAGAAAGGCTAGATCGCGAATGAATGTACTCATAATAATAATTGATGAACGAAAATAATTCAAAAGTGCTAAAATTTTAGGTTCTGGCAACTGATTCCGTTATTATATTTCATAAGTCTGTAGAAATAAATTTTCTCGTCTCAATTAAATTTTAATGCATAAAAATGAACATGTTCAAATTCCCAATTAATAACAATATTTTTTTAAATTAATATTTCAATATCTAATAGAACTTATATATATACTAAGTATGTTCATATGATTAGAAGAAAAACGATATTCGACATAATATATACCAATGAAAATATCATTAAAAAAATCTTGCTCTATCTATGCTTCAATGAATAATTATAAATGATTTAATTTAATTTATTAACTTTGGTATTCTATATGAACAATGACTCGGCTACATGACAAAAGCAACAAAAAAAAAGCAATCTTCCTCCCAGAGATTATGTTATTGATTGTGTGAAAATATGTCGCATACTCACAAAGACAAAAGAAATCAATTTCATCAGCTCTTTTTTTTGTTACTTTTCAACTCTGTTGATAAAGTAAAATCTCATTCTTCTGCCTACTGAACGTCCAGATTTTTTGCTTGTTATTTATATCAATCCTTCTCCCTTACTACACACACCAGTATATATATATAAGCATACAAAGGTCATCCACGCCAACGTCGAACAACAAGTCACTTCTTTTTCTTCTCGTTCTTTCGTAGAACGCGAGAAATAAATCTTTGAACACTAGCAAAAGCGCGCAATCGTCGTCTTTCATTGCTCTTCTATTTTTCCTTCTTTCTCCCTTGCTTTAACATCCACTATATTTTTTTCTCCATTCAGACGTTAGTCATATGTTCGGCATCGTTCGTCGACTGTAGTAGCTACAACTATAAACACCTCGTCGTCATCCTCATCGATATATTCACATAGCAATCAAACTAGAAAAGCAAAACCAACTGTGTAAATTGATGCGTCACCATGAGTAGTGAGTCTTTTCTACGTCTTTTCTTATATTCTAAACCAGTTGGTGCCTTTACTCCTTGAATAATCGATGTTTCACAACTGATATATTTTCTTCTATTTGATTCGTTATTGCAACGAGAAATTATCTCACATGATTAAATATTTGGTTAATAGATTTGTTTATCTTCTTTTTTTTAGCTTTATCGACATTTGTATAAACAGTAAAAGCACAACAAGAAAAAAATGTCGATATCAATGGATCCAATGTTTGGTTTGATTCAAGTTTCTTCATCAATCAAAATAAAACGCTCTGATGGTCGAATTCACTTAGCTAAGGTAGTACAACTTTCACCTGAATCTAAATCTGTTGGTGTCGAATGGAATGAGCATGGTGAAGTTAAAGGAAAAGAAATTTTACTTGATCTCGTATTTGAATTGAATAATGAATTACGACATAATTCATCATTTAAACAACTAACAACAGCTATCAATCAACCAGTTCGACCAACAGCTGCTATTTCCGTCCCACCAAGTGGTTTATCATCTAGTCGGTTGACTTTAGACATTGATTCATTAGAACGTGAATATAATTCTCGACCACCGCCAACACTTCCACCACAATTATTACAAAGAATTCAACAACACCCGGTGTCTATTCAAACAACTTCAACACCACTTCCACCTCCACCATTGAATGGGTACAACATCTATTTGTTTTTCTTTTTCTTTAGCTTTCTTTTATTTTCTTCAATATGTAGTACAATCACAGGTACAACACATTCAAAAACAAGTGGTGCACCTTCGAGTACAAACCATACTACTACTACTACCCGTTCAATCCGTCGTCCTACTGCTCAAGCAAGCTCTTCATCGACAAAAATAGCCACACCATCTTCTCCAGTTCCACCTCCGACACCAATAGTTGAACAACAACCACAGTTACCAATTTCATTACCAGCCAATAACAAAAGTGATCGCCGTCTTTCTCGTCTTCATGTTGTACAACAATCATCATCCTCATCAGCATCAGCAACAACAGCAACAGCAACAACAACAACACAGAATACAGCTGTATCAGTTGCTGTTGAACCACCAACACCATCGGCTGGTCTACATGGTCCATTTGGACAAATGATACTAGACTATCGTTCAACATTAAATTATACACCAATAACAAATTCTAATATGAGTCAACATAAATTTGATCAAAAAGATTTACGTATATGTGTAGCTGTTCGAAAACGTCCATTAAATAAACGTGAAATAGTTAAAAAAGATAATGATGTTATTACCATTCCAAATAAAGATCATTGTCTTGTCCATGTACCAAAGTCAAAAGTTGATTTAACCAAATATCTTGATAATCAAACATTTAAGTAAGAAAATTCCATTGTAAAATAGAATGAAATCAATCTATTATTTTAAATTTATGCAGATTTGATTATACATTCGACGAAAGAGCTTCAAATGATCTGGTCTATCGCTATACAGCTGCACCACTGATTGATACTATTTTTAATGGTGGTAATGCAACTGTTTTTGCCTATGGTCAAACAGGCTCCGGTTAGTGAACATAACATTTTGTTCACATTTTCATTATTTATTATCCTATTGATTTAGGTAAAACATTTACGATGGGTGGTGATGTTTCATCAGCAAAGACAGATTATTCACATGGAATTTATGCTCAAACAGCACGTGATATATTTCATCGTTTATCATTACCACAACATCGTTCATCAGTAGAAATATTTGTTACATTTTATGAAATATATTGTGGCAAAGTTTTTGATTTACTGAATAACAAAAAACGTTTACGTGTATTAGAAGATCAAAAAGGTCTTGTTCAAGTATGTGATCGAAAAGAACAACAAGTTAAATCTGTTCAAGATGTATTGAATATCATTCAACGTAAGAAAATATTTTCCAATTTTCGTTTTCTTCTTAATATTTTATGATTCAAAAGAAAATTTTCTAATACTATTATCAATTGAATTTTATTACGCATTAAATTCTTTCTTAATCTTCATTGCAAATATTAGTGGTCGTTAATGAGTAGAATATACATTATAATTATAGTATAAGAGCAAATTCTGTTGTCGTAATTCTAATAGACACGAAAAAAAAATTATCTTAATAGTGAAAATAAATACAGATAATAACTATGTTGTTAAATTGTTTATCTATAAAAATTAATTTGCAGATTTACGCAGGATAGATGATAGAAAGTGGCGTGAGCATTAATCATCCCAGGAGATTTTCTTTTTCTAAGAACTGATTTTTTCAAAGCTTGTTTTTTCTCTCTCTCACTGATTTGTCACAACTATAAGTTAGAAAAACAGTTAATAGGAATAGATTATAGTATTTCTTCATTGAAAAAGAAAAAGAAATGTTGTGTGATTTTGAAAAGTTTCATTGAATAATTAGAATAGCAAATCCAATCTTCATTCTATTGTTTTTCTTTTAAATAATACATATGATATACATTGAAAAATTACAGCTGTAGATTGTCACAAAGAAACTTATAACTTTGATTTATTCAGACTCAAAATGATTATACATCAGTAAAATAATATTGCCATTAGAAATTTTCTAAAAGAAGCAATATTAATTTAATTTCATCAATTTAGCAATCAACAAAATTGCAACAGTAACAATGAAACATAAATAAAATCGTATATCGAAGTCAACTTGAAATTATTTCATCGCTGAAAAACGATTTATTTCGCTTTTACAGCAGCTTATTTAAATGATTAATAGATAATATAAGCGACACTAAACAAAATACTCCAATCAAAACAATAATATGCTTTAGATAAAAATTTATTTTATTCATGAGCCACAGATACACGAAAAGAAATTTTCTAAAAATTAAACAAATAAACCTTTGATTTTTATTGCAAAGTACTTCAATGGCAATGTATTTGCATGCTAATCACGTTCTATAATTTAGATGGTATGAGTATTCGAACATCTGGTACAACAGCGGCTAATTCGAATTCATCTCGATCTCATGCCATTCTTCAAATTATTTTAAAAACTTCAACGCCAATATCTGTTCATACAAATGTCTCTGCATCATCATCATCATCTCGTAACAATAATCATAATAATCCTGCAGTACCTCGTCGTATTGTCAAAGAAGTTGGTAAAATGTCTTTAATTGATTTAGCTGGTTCTGAACGTGGTAAAGATACAGCAAGTGGTGATCGTCTTCAACGTATGGAAGGTTCAGAAATCAATAAATCATTATTAGCACTTAAAGAATGTATTCGTGCTCTGGGACGCGGTGATGGCAGTCATGTACCGTTTCGTGGTTCAACATTAACAAAAGTATTGCGAGATTCGTTTATTGGAGATAAATCAAAAGTTTGTATGATTGCAATGGTTTCACCAACACATTCTGATGTAGAAAATACAATGAATACATTGCGTTATGCCGATAGAGTAAAAGAATTAAGAGCAAGTGATAATGGTGGATCTGTATCAAATGAAGATGATGAAACTAAAATGGACCATGAATCGAAAGGTTAAATGAGATAATCTTATATAACTAGTTTTTATGATTGTAATTATTTTAGCTTCATCTATCGATTATGATAAAGAAAATAAACCTCGTCATCGTCGTCATCATCATCATCACTATCCTCAGCATCGTGATGGTTCAGCATCTTCCAATGATAGTATTAGTTCATCATCAAATGATGATTTAAATGCTTATGATGATAATGATGAGCAAGATGAAGCATTAGCTTCGTATGCTGCACAAGTTGAGCATTTACAAGAATATGAAGAAGCTTTATTTGATGCATGTCAAGAGATTTTAACTAATAAAGAGCCAATACTTACACGTGAATTACGCACAGTTGTTAAACAAGCGCAAGATACAGTTGACTACGATCAAGAAAAATTTGTTAATGATATGCGAGCTAATTTATTACAACGTCAACAACTATTAGATGAACTTCAAACACGTTTACAAGCTTTCGCTGATTGTCTTCAACAAGAAGAACAAGTCGCTGCAGCACAACGGACCAAACAACATCAATCAACTGGTAGTGTATATTGAAAATATATAATCACCTTCTATTTTTCTCTTTCTTTGATTTAAATATGTTATTTCTCTTTTTTCATTTTCTGTTTTTTCACTATGGGCTTGTGTGCGTGTATCTTATAGCATGAATGATGGTTAATATATATTTCAAAGAAGTCAGTGAATAAATAATATAAAAAATTGAGATAATATCGATCGAATGATCTTCTCATCAATACAATATGCAAAAACAAGTCATTTTAGTCACTATGAGAAGTAACTATTTAATTCTTTTGCATGTCAATGAAAATTGATTCATAAGTTCTAAGCTTTGAAAAGTGTTATAAGATTGCTTTCTGTTGTTGTTCTTAATTCTTACTTTCTGAATACAAAACATAATCGAAATATATTCAATGATAATATGAGAGATTAATTTAATTCATAAGGAAAGATTCGTGGTATGATCTACTTTTTTGCATTGAAGTTCAGAGCTAACAGATGTTTTTTCGTTGACAATAGAGAATATGCTATTGATAAAACGAAAATTCACATTAAAAGAGATCATATGTTTGTGTTCTTTTAGAGTCCTTCGATATCTGATTGTTTTCTGTTGATAAAGTTTTTCTTGTAATGGCGACCATGAATGGTCATTGTTCTTTGAAAGACGATAACGAATAAGATCTCATTTTGTTGAACCTGTAGCTGTTGAACATGTCCAAATATGAACACCACTATTTCCATAATCATCAATCAATATTGATGTTCCTTAATAATAACTACCATTTGGATATATCTGTGAACCTGAAGAATTAATAAGCCAATATTTTGACTAGACAATGAATAGTCATGAAACTTTTAAATACATCAGTCTATTACTATTTAAAAGCAATTCATTTCAATTTCATATAGATGGTCTGTTACAAGAAATATGGCTTCTCTTTATTGCTAACAGTGGAAAGACGCTGCTATGTGTTATATATAGCACATATGGAACGTTATTTTTCTCCGTCATAACCTATTGTTTTTATTGGAATTTAATGCAAGGAATATTCACCTTCTGAGCTTTCTGCACAATAAACGAAGTCGCTATTTAAGATAAGCAAATAAAAAAGTGCAAAATCGAAATTAAAGTTAATAATGTTTTTGAAACTGGAAGTTTTCTTAGAATTAAGATGATTTTTTAGACCTTCATCCATTATATTAAATAAGTAATATGATTAGGATTACAAGGTATATACAAGAAAAAGACAAAGAAACCAGCAAAATATATAAATTCATTCAATCCAATGAATGACTATAACCACTGGGTTTCTGTAATAAAAGAAAAGAATATATTAGGTTCGAATATAATAGTAGAGAACAAGAAAACCTACGTAATTTGATTCTTTTATGTAGTTGACAAGCCAGTGTACCTTATTTATTAAGTCTTCATCATTTTCTAAATTCGACTTTTTGAAGCTATTAACGAAGCTATCAAATAATAATTTTATTATTCGAGTTTTCATCGTGAACTCATACAATTGCTCCAAATGCCACTCAAGTGTTGATTGAAGTTGAAATATGAACTTGTGAATATCTATTATGAATATTAAATCCAGATATACTATATACGCTATTCAGATGAATAAACAGAGAAAAATTCATTTTACTGTGCAACAATTTAATAGAAACAGAGCATTTAGAGAAGGGTCGGAACAAGAAAACTTTACTCATCAGAAATCAATAATATATCCTATGTCGTTTTCCCATCAGCCATAATATATTGTCCTATTTTAACGCTATAGAGTAACATTTCTTTCGGGGAGAAGATAGAGAAATATAAATCACATAACGGATTGAAAACCGAACCTTTTTCAAGACAAAATGAACTATGGCGTACGATTCATAGGTATTTCTGTTCTGAAATACTGTTATAGAAAATACTACTCTGTGACGTTTTATACACATATACATACTACTGATACGGATTGCCTCTAATCAAATAAATAATGAATGAAGCATCCTTTCAAAACACACAGGTACTATTTTACTGATGACGAAGGATTACAGTTTTCGACAAGTTAAATATGTTACTTTCGAAATCTTTATAACCATCATAAAAAAAGATGAGAAAACTCTTGATTCAAGAGTGATAATCAAAATTTTTCAGTAGGCTAATGTTTGCACGCGAACTATATTCGCAATCACTTGCTAGAATCACCAGTTTTTGTGACTTAAAGTGTAGGGTGGGAGCGTCTTCGGTGTTACTTACAATTTAGTTTAATATAATCGTTAGAATATTATCCAAAATATGCTCAATAATAGAAACTATTTTATTCAAGTGAAGTTCAAGTGCAGAAAATTCATTGTATTTCAGAAACGAAATTTCAATAAATGGTATCCTCCTCTGGAATTTATACATCTTTTTTTTTGAGAGAAAATAGTGATATGGTTTTTAAGTCGACGGTTTGCATCTTCTTCAATCCTCTATATCCATTACGACTGATGACGAGAATTTTCAAAGATATACGAGTACACTTACATAAACAATGGGTATTCAAAAATCGATGGTTACGTCTACCTATCAACCAAGAACAAATGTAAAATCCCATTCTTGTAGTTTCTTGGCAACGAAAAGACGTTCAGCGATATTAAAACTAATCCTTGGATTTCCCTGAGGGTTCTGAGATATTCTAAAAATTTCACCAATAATCAATATAGGAGTTTTTGTGTTTATCCCAATACAGAATGAAGTGTTAAGATCTGTTGAGGACTTATTATAGATAAATTTATGAAGGAAGCGAAGCCCGTAAATAAATCAATAATAAGAAAAATAAAATTAATAATAAATTCAACAAAAAGAAATAAAAATAGAATATGATTGGCAAGTTCATAGAAAAAAAACAATTTAGTATAGGAAGCCAGTTGTAAAAATCTCTATCCAAAATTCTAAAAATAAATAAGAGAAAGAATTCCTTTGATATTTGACTAATCTATCTTTGGGAAGCAAGTAACATTTTTCAAATAACCTTAGAATCTATAGTTTAACAATAAAATTAGATTCAGAAAAAAGATTTACTAGAAACAGCAATATATTAGATTACCTTGTGATTTAATTGCCATTCTTTTCTGAAAGAAATGATACAATCTTTGTTGAGTAATGTATATGTGAGTTGCTTCTTGAATCATAAACTGATCGAAGATTTTATTGTCATTAGATATTGTTTTGTAATCGAATACATCCTCTTGATTAAACGACCAGTCTGTAAGATTATTATCATCATTCATAGTTGGTTTCTACAATGAAGAATAACGTTAGAAATTGAATTAAAAAATAAACACCATACGAGAAGTTATCTCGATATTAGGTGATAACTTTTCTTTCTAACCTTCATCCCTTATAGAAAAAGTTGACTTTTGCAATAAAATTCGATATTAATATTCACACAAAAACTATAGCGGAATTCATATTTTAAAGTTTGTATACGGTTAATAAGAGTTTTTAAAGCTTCTCAAAAGTTTTAGAAGAGACTGGAAAAGTAATTTTTCAGCACTGACAAGAAGCTTCTTCTTCAACATGAACTATTGAGTGGAGTTCATTGCAGTCAATTTTTTTAAAAGATTATGTTTCGCTTCAGTGTTTGACAGAGTCTGATTTTTAATTAGGTTTACTTTATTTTATGAAGGAAAGTATTGCAAAAATTCACGGTCAGCATTTTAGTCTTTTTTTTTATAGTGAATGTGTTTAATTTCGCTTCCATGTTGGAAATAAAGATATCACGGGAAAAGTCATGCGTAGCGGTGTTACTTTTTTCCTTTTTCTTTATGATTAAGAGTACAGATAAACATCAAATTTAAAAAATAAATATAAATAAAATCTTTAGTCTTAAAAAAGGAGGTAAAATAACGAATAAAGAAACTTGTATTCTCTGGTAGCTAAATAATGAAATGCCTAATATAACCAGATATATTGATCGGCGTACTTTCTTTTTACCAACAACACTTCTATATGAAATATTGTTAAAAATGCGGATGATATTAAAAAACATTCTATGCAAAAATCCTAGCTTGTATATTTTTGCATCTACGATGCTATTATTTTTTGGCTTATCTAGAAAAAATAAAATATCAAGTTGTCATCGGAAAAAATGTTCATTAGTCTATATTTTATCTTTATAAAATAAAACAAATAAAAGTTTCCTTTACTTCTATTTCATAAATAAATATAAATTAACACCCATAGTTATATGTAGATTTTGCATGCGAATGTCTGATGCAAAACCCAAAATATAATTATTTCTAATCAATTTTCATCAGGAGTCGGAAATAGATAAATAACCCATTTTTTTTCGGGTTTAAGTTTCTGGTAAGAATATAATGAAACCAAGCTGACTATTTCTATCATTGTATTTGAATCTTATTACCATGATAATGTGAAACTTCAAGAATTTTACAAACGTGAGATGGAATCACATTTTAAAGAGAGGAATCTTATTTCACGATAATCATTCTTATCTTGAGGGTTACAGAAGGAAGTATATCATTAACAATTATGAAGAAACTTAAAAATATCAGCTATTTTCTCAGAAAATTTGGCTGACAAATCTCTATTTTCATTTGAAATTATTTCCTTATCCGATAGTTCGAGTAGTTTTTGTTATATTATATAGTTCAAACACTCATGGGGATTTTTTTCTAGATCAAGACATATTTTGAGAAACGCTACGAACCGTATTGAAAGTAAGAAACAGGTATTTCATATATTTTTATTCTTCTTTTTACAG